TTCCCTCTGCTTGGAAGGCCTTTCCTCCGTCTAGTGTGCTGGGAAAAATCATACTTATCCTCTAAGATCTTACCCAACTGTCACCACCTTTTTGAAGCCCCCATGTCCCCAGTTGTCTCTCGGTCACCCTGTAGCATCTTGTACATGCCTTAATTAATGCCTGACTCTCATGTGATTTTTTGTGTGTCTTCTCCAGGAAACTGTGATCTTTCTGAGGACAGATACTATGTCTTCTCATCCTGTTTCCCCAAGGAATAGTCTGGTGCCTGCACAGTGTTAAGTAAGTATTTGGTAAAGTTTGCTGACTGAATAAACGAATGAATCAACAGATAAGAGAAGGAAGTAGAAAGGAGGGAAAGAGAGAAACATCTCTTTCCTTGTAGGTGTCCTCAGGGTGCCTGAGAGCCTCTCACTGTGGAAGTTTCCTTGCTCTCCAGACCAATCTTGACAACCTGACCCCTCATCCAAACTGTCTAGAAACAAGTACTAACCTCTTTGCCACTGTAGGGAAGCAGAATTTGTCACCCCAAAATATGTCTTTTTGTCATAAGGGTTATTTTAGGCTGGTTATTTTTAAGAAACAGCTGACAGGGAAGAAGCTCTGAAAAATCAAGTGGAAGTTATCCTTTGTAAAGGACATTTATATTTGTAAGGAAATTCTCCATTTGTAAGGGTGTTTTCCCTACTGTAGCAGGCCTGCCTTCATTATCTTTGGAGAAGGCATGACTGCAACCTACATGCCATCTTACTTTTGTTTACTGTGCTTTTCCTGGAAACCTCCCATAACTGTCTCCACCCCCAAGGTCTTCTTTTGTCTCTAGGTGAAGGTGGTATTTAAGGTGGTGGGTTCTTCCATTTTGACGAGTTAACTCAGTGTTCCTGGGTCTCTCCCATGTATACAGGAGGTATACATGTTACTAAACTTTTATTTGTTTTTCTCCTGCTAATCTATCTCATGTCAAGTTGAAGAACCTCAAAAGGTAGAGTAAAATTTTTCTTCCCTGACAGTTTTGTCTACTAAGCCAGGAGTGCTCACTGGCTGGGACACCACTAACTACGGGGAACTGCTGCAGCTGAGAATTCTGTGATGTCTGATAAAATGCCACTGTAGGGACACACCAGGGACTCCCCCACATAGGCCTGTAGAATCAAGATTGTAAGGTTGCTGCTCTCTGAGTAAAAGCTCGGCGGTCGGCTGAGAGAGGCTGGATGCTTGCCACACTGAAAACAGTGTGTGCAAAGTCAAAGTCCTTGAAACTGTTTTGTTCTTCTTGAGCTAAAAAACAACTCTTAGACTAAGCATTTCTCCCTTAGCCTTGGAGGCGTGTGTGTTATTTCCTACCACCTGTTTTTCTGTTATCTCTAATAAAAGACTGAAGTCAGAAAGGATGCGGGGTCAGACCTCGTGGTCTGTCCTCTTTCCTGCTTTCTGCATTGCCTGTCTCTCTCCATTATTGGTGTCTCTGGTTGCTAAAACGACATGCCACCAAGAGGTTAGCTTTCTTACTCTATCAGCCTTCCTCATCTGCCTGCGGGGGGTGGGGTGGAGTGGGGGCGAGGGAGGTGGGTGTGTGGGGTGGAGTTGTTGGAAGTTAGAGGTGTTGAGAGTCCTCTCTAAATTTAGATTGGCAGGAGAAAATATTTGTGAAGCTAGTTCAGCTTAGCTAGTATAGGGAAGGGACATGAGGACCATTTTTGAGAAGAAGGAACTGTTATCAGGAATAATGTTTTTCTTCAGGTTTTGTCCTCTTGAAGGAAAAAAATTCGGCCAAGAGACAGAATTAAGCAAGTTGCAAAAACAAGGTTTAGGGCCGGCCAAGTGGCTCAGTTGGTTAAGAGCGCGTGCTCTGAGCAACAGGGTCTCTGGTTCGATTCCCACATGGATCAGTGAGTTGCGTTGGAGCTGAGCTGCCACAGGTGACAAGATGGATCAGTCAGTGATGGCACGTGTTCCTAACAACAACATTGCCAGTCAACTCCCACATGGGATGGT